TGGGGTGGAAGAGTGTCTTTTGTAGCTTCGGAGGAAGGCACAGGGGGGGGGGGGGGGGCCAAGGCACCAGGGCCAGCTCACGACCGCCAACGGGACGGGAGGTGCAGATCCAAACGATGTCGTGACAGACCAGGCAGGCGCGGGTGGGGGTCGGCGCTCCTCGTCTCTCCTTCTTCTTCCGCAGACGCAGACGGTGCTTCCCGTGCCTGATGGATGGATCAGCACGACTGAGAAGTGGACGTGGGCAGGAACATGGGATGGGACGCGAGGGGCGTCAAGGGGCGTCAGCAGCTGGGTCAGGTGCAAGGGCAGTGATGAACGGTCAAACTTGGAACACGCGCCTGCCCAAGTTGAGTGGTGTGGTTGTGTGGATGTGGTGGATGTAGTGGATTTGGTGGACGTTTGGGAGGGATGCGTAGGCAGGCAAGGCAGGGGCGGCACGCAGTCCGCAGTGTGCAGCAGGCAGGTGCATTGGTGTGGTGCAGCGCAACAGAAGCAGCGCAGGCGCAGTCGGTGTGGATTCCGTCCCTTCTGTTTGGTGGGCGGGGGGCAAGGGGGGCCAGGGAGCAAGGCACGAAGGCTTGGGCTCGTGCGACTGATGAGGTCAGCTCGCGGCTTGGGCCGGCCTGGGCGGGCACGAGGCTGCCAGGCCCACCAGTCACAGATTCGCGCCCCGAAAGCAGACAGGGGAACCTGGACCACGCCGAGAGCTCGCTGCACCCGATCTCGCCTTGCCAGCGATGGTACGCTGTGCGCTGTACTGTACGTACGCCGTACGGTACGTACGCTGTACGGTACGTACGCTGTACGGTACAGTACTGACTGGTATTTACATCTAGCACGCGTCCGATGCGCGTCAGATGACTCACGGAGCAAAAGGCACCCTGAGCGCCACGGCAGTGCGGCCGTGGAAAAGAAACACTGGAGACGACCACCCAAGACACCGCAAGCCTGTCCGCCCGTCCATCAATGGCCCAGCTCGTTTGTTGGCATTCCATCTTGGGGTCAATCGAATCGAATCCTGCTGGTTTTCACACAGGCCTGTTGGTCGATTTGGACCACCCCCGCTCGACTCCCTGCCTCCCTGTCTCCTTGCCTCCCTGCCTCCCGCTATTCATTACAGAACAACGCATGGCGAAGTAGGTGGGTAAGACCGGGCTAAGATGTCAAGCTTCAAGGCGAGCAAGGGTCTGCCAGTGCGACGAGCCCCGCCCCTGTCGTAATGATGCCCGGCTATGGCTGTCTGCACATCAGAAGGCTCAGGCCGTGCGCCAACAGCGGTTAAATCTCGTCGAAGGCTCGAACCGAGATGGGCAGATCCCCCCATCAGATTAGATAACTTCGGCGTCCTGCAGCCAGTTCATTGGGCCGCGAGATCAGGTCGAAGCCGACGCAGCAGCCGGAGCTGGCTCTTTTCCTCGTCAAGCCCACCAAGAGCGAACTTCTACAGGTAGCGCGCCTTGGGTACCCTGTCCGTTGAGCCTAACCTGAACTACTGTCTCACGCATGAACAGACAAGCCTGCCGCCAACCCGACAGCACAGTGCTGCTTCCAGCGTGACGGGTGGAGAGAGAGGGTCGACCAACCTGTCAATCGAAGCGCCATTTAAGAGACATCCTGGATCCGGCTCGCCCGACTCGAACCACTCCTGCTCTGCTCCCATCGGTGTGTTGCGGGACGAGCCAGACCCAACCCCATCCTCCGCATGGAAGAGGATCGGTCCGTGGAGGAGCTGGTCTCAAACGAACGATAGCGCGACGAGACACGTCAAGTTGCCAGCATCAAAATGGGCCCTTTTGCCTTTCCTCATGCCTTTCTACCTTGGTCGAAAGTACCGCACGATCGAGCTCGAGCTAACATCTCACCGCTTCGCTTTCACTGTGCACGCGTCAGTCACTCTCGGCAGCTCCAAAAGCCATTCAGTTTGGTGGCCCCAGTATGTGCGGAGCACACCAGTCGAGCACCATTGTCGTCCCATGGAGTATCAGTTCAAGTTCGTCGGCTGTCCCTCCACTTCCAGCGACACTGGAAACTCTGAAGCCTGAGCGCATGAAGGGCCCTGGTCGTACATCGGGCAGGTCCACCTCTCTGTTGCATCGGTCTGCTTCGGCATCCGACATGACGAGCCTCCGAAAAGGGTCGTATATCCGACCCGCCAGCCGCCTCCCGACGAACCGAACGCCATTATGTTTGCCTGTCAAAGTTGATCCATTATTGCTATACATATTCATCTCACGGGGCATCCACAAGCTGGATAGACTGGATATCCAGCACATCGTATTTTGCAAACCTCAGGCGAGTACCTTTCCCACTGCCGATGATCTGGTGCCTGTTGTGCCGTCACAAATGTGCGGTGGCTGTACTAAGGCATCTTAGGTAGGATACCAGGTGGAATCGCCTGTTCATCACAAAAGCTACGTGTAATGTGACGAAATGAGGCTTTCATCATGCATAGGACACGAGCTAGTCAGTTACTGTCCCATTCAATAACCCAGAAAGACGACCCGACCTCTTTTGAGAACGCTATTTGCTGGGCAGGGCTCACCAACGTATCTGCCACCTTTTAGTAGGAACACCGAGTAAGATACGCCCGGCACAGGGTCTCCAATCCCGTAAGAGGAGGTGAACAATATGCCCCGAGAAGTCCTGAGTGCCAATGGGTCTATGACCCGTCAACAAACATATGGTTTCTGGTGTCTCTGGCCTTGAAGAGAACTCATGCAATGAGTGTCAAAGGTCTTTTCTCATGCCATCAGAATGGCCGGTTGTCAACAGCATACTCCATTGCGCTATCAGCACTGCACCCCCGTCCTTCCTTGTGACCGACTATCACTTTAGTGCATGATCTTCTGGTTTCGACTCATTGCATCGAGATCCACCAGGCAACAGAAACGAGCTGTAACATAGGCGGCCCTCGAGCTCAAGGGAGGAGATCGCCACTCTTGGATATCGTAGGATCTGATATCAGCTTGGCCTCGCGATCACGATGCTGACGAGAGAACACATTTCTTGAGCCAAAGGCAGCGAGCACCGCATCGCAAGGGACGACAGTGGAAATGAGAGCTCGAATAGCAGCCGCCTCGCACATAAACTCTGCTTTATCAACAAACACGTCAACACCACTAACCGTCCTTCTCACGTCCGTTGCTGTCCTTGTCATATGTGATAGCGAGCAAAAGTGGGCGAATGATCGCGGCCTACGCAAGCAACTTTGTCACAATGACGAGCAGCCAGTTTGCTAATCAGTTTCCACCGCCAGTATTTATTCGTCGAGGGCTGCCCGTGTGACGGCCTGTCCGTCGTACTGAGCGAAGCAGCCGCTGTCGCGCATTCAGCTTGGTACACCCGTCGTCGCTCGTGCGTCCACAATTGAAGACTTAAGCTTCATTTTCTGCCACACCTAGCCTCGCCCCTCGGCCCCTCTCCATGTAGCGGGCCCTGTGGTGTGCCGAGCGACTGCCGTGTTCCGCTTGTAGTCACTGAGCCACGAGGCATGTTCTCTTTGAGGGATTGGGTGCTACATCGACAGCGCCAGAGATGACAACGGCACTGATGTATCAAAAGAGGAAACCAGGGGCCACGCTGGAAGCCGAATGACTCCTCAAACGAACAAGAGAGGTCTGGAACGTCCGGGTCTTGGATATGGGTCGGCACCTGTATCATATCATTGTTACTTGCCCCAGACGGCCTTGTTACTACCGTATGTGCAACAGGCCTTTCCCCGGCCACGCGATGTGTCACTTCATCCACGCTTTTACAGCGAAAGCGAATTCCAAGACGCCCGAAGTCGAGGCACACACCCATGGCGGCATTGAACTGGACTAGTCTCGCGGCGCGCGAACGTCACGACCTGTCCTGTCACTTTCTGCGGTGTCACCGAGACAGGTGCACACGCCTCTGAAACCTGGACAGCAAGCCCTGCCACTGCTCATGAAAGAGAGCAGGGTCTTTTATGTATAGTGGTTGAATGAGCCTCCAATTCAGCTCGTTTACTGCTCCGCACGGCTACACACGTTGACGCCAAGGCTATGTTGCAGACCAAGGAAAGCGAAAACTTCTGAGGGATCTTTGGTGAAAGTGAGTGGCTCAATGGGGTTGGAATTATCCTGCCGATCGTTCGCTGCCTGTCGCCT